ATATAGCGGGGATAATAATCAATGTAATGAAACAAGCTATATGAATGGTTGAATGTGAAGCTGATGATGTGCCCTGTAAACTTTCACTCAATGCAAAATAAAAACATTTAATTAAAAAAAAAAAAAAAGAAAGAAAGCCTTTTCATTTTGCGTTTCCCCATGTCAGTTTTCATGTAATATTTTGGGAGGTGTATACATTCAAATGCTATACAGAGTATTAATTTTAAAAAACCTTTATGTTACTTTGCTTTTAACATTATTCTTTATATTATTTTTAAACAGGGAAATAGAATATCATTACTCTACCAACATTCAATAGCTTGCATTCACATATTATTGAGAAAGTCTCACACAGAACACAGGAAGCTCCAAACAGATCTAAGCAGCCTGTAAGATTTGGTATATGTTAAAGATGACATTTCAAGTCAGTGACAATTTGAGACCAGGGCAGGTGTTTGTATCTTTGCACAATGGAGGCTACCAAAACAATCCATTGAGCCACTAGTTACCTAAGGAGTCAGTACATCCAAGCTAACTCTTCAGGATATGGAGTGGGCAGTGCTGACTTGCTCCATCGAGCTCTGTAAGAGCCAGCTTTAGAAGCACCAAAAATTTTGGAGATTAGAACAACCCACCTCTGTTTGTTACTGAGAACACAGAGCTTTTTACCAACTTGAGCTATAAAAGAGGTCTCATTTTATCATCTTCAGATCCACTATAGGAGAAATTGACATCTTTAGTTTTCTGTTAACTTGCCTAGTGGTCATGTGGGAACAACACAGATATCCTGGGGTCCTCATGATGGCACATGTAGATTGAATAATAAAAGGAACAAGAACGAAAGGTCAAGATTCTATTGAAATGTCTTAGACTTGGTAGCTCATTCTTGATTTGTCACTTTGTGTATGTGTTGTAGATGAGGCTTAAGCAACAAAATCACTGCACTTGTGCTAAATATTCAAGCTGGTTTCCTTCCAAGCCATTTCTGTTTTGACTAAGGTCAATTTAGAGCAGCTTGGAGAAATCAAGCATGGGCATATAGTAAAGAACTCATAGTTGTGGAATACCATGCCTTAGAAAAGTACACAACAGCAAAACACCCTCCTGGCCCCACGTCTCATTCCCCAAAGTGAGATTTCCTTCCCATGTGGCTTAGAGGTTATGCATACTCTGACCATTAAACCTTGGGATGGTCTAAACAAAGTACCTAGTTGCATTTCCATCTAAAATCTTCACTAAAGATTTATTTTTATCATTATGAGCTATACTTCAAAGTGAGAATATATTTTAGACTAAAGTTGCATTTGATGATACTGCACTTTAAGGTGTGGGCTGTCCCAAAGATTAGTCATTTTCTTAAACTGACGGTTTTTGGTATTTTTGAAATCGCAAAAACAAAGTTATGCCAATCTTAACATTTTTTCCTACATTTTGGGTGAGTTTTCTGTACATAAAGATTTATGCTGAATCTTAAGTTTCCTTGTCCCACTTAGCCTTTGTTTCTCCATTTCTTCAGTTTATTCATTAAGTCACTTGCTAATAATACCTCCTCAGACCCTTCTGGGCTATGTTAAATTTTCTCATTGTGTGAATCGCCTCTCTACCCTAAGTCCATGCATTTTATAAAATACCTGTTCATAGAAGGGATCTGGGAGGAATGTTGGGATTAATGCATAAATACTGAAAGATGTCCAAAGTCCTCTATTCCTGCCAGTGGATCTATAGCCTCATCTTGGTAATGGAAAGATAACAGTTATTGACTTCCTTGTATCATTTTACCAGTTCCTCCTCAGCATTACTTTCTGTATATCTAGATGAGTGCCTTCCATCTTGTCAATTTTGGGATAAGTAAACTTGAGATTTCCAGATAAATTATATTCTAAACTGTTTGACTAATTTGCTAAGAGGAGATGAGGACCAGTCATTTTCCTTTGCCTATTTGAAAGTAATATGCTTTTTTCTTGGGACAATTGTGGAGGGGGAAATTTTTTTTTTGCTTCTTTCTCTCCTTCTGTAACAGCTTTATTGAGATATAATTTGCATGCTATATAGTTTAACCATTTACAATGGGTGGTTTTTAATATAGTCAAGAGATTGTTTTTCTTGCTAGCATGAAGCATACCCCTTTAGCTTTTTTGATGTTTTTTTTTTTTTTTTTAAGAGCCACACAGTCACTTTAAGAAGGACAGGTTACATGTTTTTAAATAATGTCTTATCAGGTGAGGTCAGTGGTTTACATGATGATGCAATGGCTGTCTTACTTTAATTCAAATAATTCCTTTGGAAAAATAAAGATAAGCAATACTATTAAAATGGACAAAAACGTCATAGGCAGTTTACTAAGAATATAAGTTGAAAATTCAGTTTTTAAAAAAGTTACTCTTTTTTAGATAGAATATGTGACTCTAATTTTACAAATCAGAACCATGTTGAAAGACGTAAAAGTAGTAATCCTTTGCTTTCCTGTCTTGATCTCAGGCAACCGTTGTTGCTTCTCATTAGTTCTTTTCCTTTCCTTTAGTATCAGACTGATTCCATTCTTTCCCTGGCTCAGTTTGATACGGTTTCCACATTACATGGGGCAATATCTTCCAGGAACTTGAACTGGATGAAATTGTCTACCATGTTCTATGTAGACTGCCAAATGCGCCACATCCAAACACCAGTTTTAAAAAGTTGAAACATTCTAGAAATTTTATCTTACTATTTTTTTTTAAAAGATCAATACTACTTAAATTGGGGCCTTAATTTATTTCCTAAACTAAAGTAGTTCATCTAGAATCAAACCCGAACATCAAATTTTCCTCCAAAGTATATCAGTATTTCATCATTTAGTTTCGAGTTTCTTCTGTTTCTGCCTCTTGAATTGCAGCCTTTCCATTTTTAAACAGGACAAGTAGTCTTTAGTGGTGACCTACTTAGTGATACATTCACAAAATCTTTCCACCTAGGCAGTATTCTCATTGTATATTTCATCTATTAAACCTTAACTCAGAGTTACTTAGCATTTACTTAACCTTAGAGTTTTGATTTGTTTCCAGTGAATTTAAATAAAAGTTCTTGCTACTGTTTGCCTCTGGGCCATTTCTTCTTTCTGTTAATGAATTCTGGAGAGAAATCTTCCTCTAAAAGGATACTGTATCTTTGTTTCCTTTTGTATATTATCTGCTATGCTTCTATCCTATCAAATGCCTCTTAGTGAAGCTTTTGTATCTTTTATTAAATTCATTCAATATTTCAGTTACCTGAATATATGAGTTTAATGAAGAAATATTGAATGAATTGGGGAATCTTGGCCTGGTGCTGCAGGATAATGCACTGGACCACAAGGTCAGAGGTTTAGACCTACTAGCCACTCCTTGGAAAGCTTATACAGAGTCTTTAAGAGTCAGAACCAGCTCAATGGCACTTAACTTAATGCTAGGAAATTAACTCAGTATTTCCAAGCACTTTTTGCAAATTTTTTGAATTTTACTTTTTTAAAATAGCAAAACCCACAAAATGTGTAAGTGATGAAATTTAATTTGCTTTAGTTTGGCTAGGAGAAATGTTTAAAAATTATGACTTTTTTTTTTTTTTTAAATCATTATAGGTTTTTTGTTTTAAATAATGAAGCTGGACTATTGGAGTATTTTGTGAATGAACAGTCTAGAAATCAAAAACCCAGAGGTACTTTGCAGCTTGCAGGAGCTGTAATATCACCCAGTGATGAGGACTCTCACACCTTCACTGTTAATGCTGCCAGTGGGGAACAGTATAAACTCAGAGGTAGGCTTAAGATAGGAGAAATAATGCTGTGATATTCGTCTTTGTTTGAGGAATTGGTGTTCTTCCCCGCTTTCTGTTGGATTTTGGAAATAGAAATTACTGTGGTGTTGATATAATATTCTAGATATGGGGATTTCTTTAAGAATATATGAAATCTATTTTAATAAATAACTTTTTCCAATGAATAAGTGTGTTTAGAGTTGGGTCCCTTAAAAAATTTGTGCAAACAAAATCCCGAGTACTGATAGTTTTTAATGTTATTTTTTATGACTGCTGTGGAGATATATTTTGCACATTTACTTGATTTGATCTGTGCCCTATGCGATTCTTGGTGACTAATGTAATAAATGGAGTCCTGGTGTGGTGCTGTGGGTTAATGTGCCAGACTGCACAGCCATTTGAACTGCAAGGTTGGTGGTTCAAGCTCACCAGCTGCTCCTCGGAAAACCCTATCCAGGGTCCCTATGGGTTGGAACCAACTCGATGGCACTTCACAACAACAATGTAATAAATTGGAATTTATGAAAATGCCCATAACAATTAAAATAAACTATAACTCTTATTTGGATTAACTTAATTGTGTAGAGTTTTATTATTAGTTAATACAGAGAAAGTATATTGATAATCCTAATTGAGCATGCTACTAGAAGTCTATAAGTTCTTGAGTATATGCCAAATGCTTAACAAATGATATTTCTTTAAGTAAGAGCATATTTTTATGAGAAAACTTGCCAGTCTTATATCCCCACTTAGTTGCATTTAGTTTATCCTTTTGAAATATCACATCCATCTACTGTGCTTCCTAACAAGGTTAATGCATTGTTGTCTTTCCTACTTCCCTCTCACCAGGGATATATGCTCTAGAGGAGAGAGTAGGACTAATCCCTGGTGTTCAGTTACCCAGTCTTCATGCAACAGACAATTGATTCTATTCTAAAAATAGGTATAAAAGACAATAACTTTTAGATTCTTTTTATTAGCCACAGATGCTAAGGAACGACAACATTGGGTTAGCAGACTTCAGATATGTACACAGCATCACACTGAAGCTATTGGAAAGGTATGTGGACTTATATATAATACCAGTATACAAAAATGAGGAAACAATGTCTTAAAAATATTTTATTTACATTTTTAAATTGAGGAATGATGAATATACATAAAAATGTACCCTTTTGTACAATTCCGTAGTTTTTAGTTCATTTACAAGATTGTGCAAACATCACTGCACTCTAATTCTAAAACATTTTTATCACCCCAAAAGGAAATTCTATAACTTTTTCTCTATACTCTTCATTCACCACTTCCCCAGCCCCTGGTAACTTACTAATTGATTTTCTGAATTTACCTATTTCGGGCATTTCAGATAAATGGAAAACCACAATATATATTTGTCTTTTGCATAATATTTCAAGGTTCATCCATATTGTAACAGTATATCATTACTTCATTTCTTTTTATCACTGAATAATTCCATTGTATGGATATGATACATTTTTTTAGTTACTCGTCTGTTGATGATAATTTGGATTGTTTACATTTTGTGGCTATCATGAATAATTGTGTCATGAAAATTTGTATATAAATTTTTAAGTTATTTGTTTATTTGAAAATACATAGCAGAACATATATCAATTCAACAATTTCTACATGTACAATTCACTGACATTGATTAGAGTCTTCAAGTTGTGTAACTTCTCACCCTCCTTTTCTAAATTGTTCCTTCCCTAGTAACATAAGCTCACTGCTCCCTAAGTTTCCTATCTGATCTATAGGATTGCTGTTGTCAATTTGATCCCATATAGACAGTTCTTAAAAGAATATAATGCTCTTTGGAAGGTATTTTTATTAATTAAGCTAAATATTTTGGCTTTACAAAGACTTCAGTAGATATTTTTGGTTTAAGGTTTAAAGATTATCTCAAGGCAGTGGTTTCAAGGATTCTTATAGCCTCCTTGATTCCAGAATGTATTGGGTCCATGAAAATGTGAAAATCGATTCTGCATTTTCTCTTTTGATCTTAACAACAACACAGTCAGAACCTTGGCTAATGATAGCCAGGCATCATCCAGTTCTTCTGGTCTCCTGGCAAAGGAGGCAGTTGGTTCCTGGAAGAAGTTAACCACACATTCCATTTCTCCTCTTATCCCTGACTCTCCTTCTCATGGGTTGCTCCAGGCAAATAGGGACTAATTGTTGTACCTTATGTGATCACTTGCAAGCTTTTAAGACCCCCAATCATTTGTGTACAAATTTTTTTGTGAACATGATTTTAGTGTTCTATTGTTTGAGAGGGCTTCAGAAAGTTAGTGCAAAAATGCCAATATCTCTTCATTCCATTTTTTCCATTTTTGAAGCCCCCATTGTATATACTTAGGAATGAAATTGCTAGATCGTATAGTAATTCTGTGTTTAGCTTTTTGAGAAACTATTAGACCATTTTCCAAATTGACTATATTTTTTTTACACTCTCATTAGCATGTGTGAGGGTCCTAATTTCTTCATGTCCTCACCAATACTTATCATTGTTTGCTTTTTGGATCCCAGTATTCTATTGGGTGTGAAATGGTATCTCATTATGGTTTTGATTTTGTGTCCCTAATGACTAATAGGAGTCCTGGTATGGTGCTGTACGATAAGCACTGGATTGCTAACCGCAAAGTAGGCAGTTTAAACCCACCAGTTGTTGGAAATGCTTGGAAATCCTATATAGGGTTGCTATGAGTTGGAACCTACTCAAAGATACTCAACAACAACTAATGATGTTGAGCATCTTTTCATGTGTTTGTTTAGTGATCATTTGTTATCTCCTCTGAGGGTATTTTTAAAAAATTTAATACTTAAAGTGGAAAGTTAGAGATGTCCCCAAAACAATGTACATTATTTTATACCTAGGCAGTAGCTTGGCTTTCATAATTATTTTTTTTCATTCTCCTATTTTTTTCCCCCAAGTAAATTTTTCAGTTTTTTTAAATTTTATTTTAAGCCTATAACTGAAGTCTTTAGGAAATCCAACACAAAAGTTTTGAATGTATTGCAAGAATCTAGTTATAGTCTGTGGTCAGAAAATACTGGTTTGTATCAAAGATGTTATATTAAATTAAAAAAAAAACTTTGTAATTATGAATTGTGTGAAGGTTTATAGAGCAGATCATCAATTTTACATTCAGCAAATCATATCCTTTGTTTCATTACAATGATTGGAATCTCCTCCATGTACTATCAGGTAACAGTATTCACCTCTATTTCCTTTAACTCTTGCATTCCTTCCTGTGTCTTCTGCAACCTTCATCTTTCCTCTGTCAACATCCCTCTTGTTGTATATTGCCTGCCAAGTCACCCATGTTAACATGTGTCTACCCTCTAGCTCATGAATAATTCCTTCCACTTCATGCCCAGCCCCCATAACCATCATAGATTGCTTCTTTTATCAAGAAAACCTTTTCTTAACTTTTTACAACATTGGTCTCATACAATATTTGTCCTTTTGTGATTGACTAATTTCACTCAGCATAATGTTCTCCAGGTTCATCCATGTTGTGAGACGTTTATATTGTTGAATATATGTATATATGTTTGTGTATGTGTATATATGTATATGTGTGTTTGTGTATGTATATATATGTATGTGTATATGTGTATATATATGTGTGTATGTATGTATATATATGTGTGTGTGTGTGTATACACACATACACACACATTATTTTTAAATCTTTATAGAAGCAGGCTGCCTTATCTTGCCAAATATATTTTTTGTTTCAACCTTTATAAATTTTTGTTATTCTATTATTTGCAAAATGTGAAAAAATTTATGATAACACAAAACTGGAAATCAGTTTTAAATAAATCACTAGTTTACTGTGCCATGTATGAAGTACTTAACATTTTTAAGTATCTTATATCTTACCATTTTCAGAAATGTAATTGTACTTAACTCTGAGGTTAATGAATTTAATTTCCAAATTGTTCATGTTTAAACTTCACGTATATGAGGGTCAGAGAATCCAAAGAACAAGGGGGAATGATTTTGTTTGTCTAACAGAATAATCCTCCTCTGAAGTCACGGAGCTTCTCACTTGCATCTAGTGGCAATTCTCCGATATCCCAGAGAAGACCAAGTCAAAATGCCATTTCTTTTTTTAATGTTGGACATTCCAAACTGCAGTCAGTGAGCAAAAGAGCTCACTTACCTCCAGACCATCTTGTGGAAGTCAGAGAAGTAAGTATGAATTGAAGTCAAGTTAAAATGCACAAAGTAAAATTAGTTTTGTCAAAACACTCTTTAAATACTATTTGTGTCTTCTGGGACCCTCATTGTTTCCCATTTGGTATGCTGAGATAATTTTTAAGTCAAAGATTCACTGATTATATTTATGTCCTAAGTTCTTGCGTGTCGGTAATATCGAGTCCTGGAGTGGTGCTGCACAGTAATGCACTGGACCAAAGCTCATAAGCTGCTCCTTGGAAATCCTATGCAGGGTCACTGTGAGTTTGAACTGACTCAACAGCACTTAACGATAATCTATCCATTAGGTACATTAATTGATATAATTATCACTCTTAGAAAATGTAAAATATACACAAAAATAAAATAGTTAAATCCTAGATACTACCTGGAGTCCTGTTGTGACACTGTGGGTTAATTTGCCAGACTGCAAAGCCATTTGAACTGCAAGGTCGGCGATTTAAGCTCACCAGCTGCTCCTCGGAAACCCTATACAAGGTCGCTATGGGTTGGAACCTACTCAACAACAACAAAAGATACTCCCTACCTAATTATTTCCCCTTTTTTTCTTTCAAACTGTGTGCCAAATAATTATAGTTAATAAAGTATTTAGTTTCTTAGGCTCTTAATATTACAGGCAGTCTTGGTATAGGATAAGCACCAGACTGCACACTCACTACAAATTCTGTGGTTCAGATCCACCTGCCACTCCTTGGAAACAGTGTCACTATGAGTTAGAATCCACTCAACAGCGCTTAACAACAACAATAACAAATTTTACAGGTATCACATGTTGAGTTAAATTTGATAGAATTTGTATCTAAGTAATAGATGGGTGAAAATAATCTTGCAAATCATTCCCAAATTGTTTGGCGCAGGAAGCTGGGGAGAATTTACTGTTGTCAAGTCATTTCTGGTTAGACTTATAGATGAGGAAATGGTGATTTAGGGGAGACGAAGTACCATTTTTGGAATGCACAGACAGCAGCTTTTAGAATCCTTTTCCAGCTCTGTTATATAAAGGAGAGGTAGTTACAAAGACCCCTTTTCATAAAACAGTGCATTTGCATTATTCATAATGATGATATTGAATTTATAGATAAATCATAAATGTTTGTATTTTAAGAAAACCAAGGTACTCTGTATTCATGTAGAGTAGAGGAAGAGGAAACTGTAAAATAAAAGTGGCTACCATATCAAGGATAAAGTAAGAAACAGTGTTATAGAGTGTTCTTTAACCCTTGAAAATTAGTCATGAAAAATGTTGAACTCTTCGAGCATTACTAGTAATAAGAATTCAAGGTGAGGGCAGGGTAGTGTTTCTGAGATGCTGGTCATGTTCTGTTTCTTGATCCAGGTGTTGGTTACATGGTGTATTTGATTTTGAAAATCATTAATCCCATACAAGGAGGCTAAGTTTGTATTAAAATTCCATTATCTTTTTTTTTTTCCCCTTAAATGATTTATTGTGAATTATGTGATAGTATACATGGAAGAACATTAGTTTTACATTCATTCTATTGTATATCGTCTCATTGCCATGGTTACAATCCCCTCCATGCAATCCTTCCCCCGTAACCCCCAGGTCTTCAGCACACAGTTGCTCTCCCTCTCTGGATCTAAAGTCTCCAGCTGCTCCATCGCTCCACATCATCATCTCTGGCTCCATTTCAGGCATCATTGCTTCTCTGGGTAGGGTCCCGCTCTCTGCTCTTCGCCCTTGATGGTCCTAGGGACCTCTGCTCCTAGACTGAAAAGTAAATTACTCCCCTCCTTGCTATAAAACGTCTACCTTTACATTTCCGACCCTCACAATCAGTCCTGATAATAATTATTCACTATTGAAAATTCCATTATCTCTTAATTCCATTTTCCCCACAAACATTTTGAAACCTCCTTCTATATTTGTATAGTCCTGGTATGACACTGTAGGATAAAACTGCTCACCACAAGGTCAGCAGTTCAAACCCACCAGCTGCTCCTTGGAAATCCTATACAGGGTCACTATGAGTCAAAACTGACATGATGACACATAATAACAACCTGCACTTTATATGTACTATACGTTATGTTGTGGTATGCTGTTGAGTCTGTTCTGACTGGTGGCGACCCTGTATAGTGTTTCTGAGAGCAGCTGATGAGTTTGAACTGCCCACCTTGTGGTTACCAGTTGGTCCAGTGCTTATCCTACATCACCACACCAGGGCTTCCTATATGTTAGTCTATTTCAATAAAAAGTTAAAAGCAAAGAAAAAACATGTAAGTGAAGTTGTTGCGACTTAACAAAGCCTATTTTCAGGGAAAAATAACTCCTTTATATTTGAGATTTTAACTTCTGAAGATACCTTTCAGGATCCTTAGTGGTGCAGTGGTTCATCACTCGCCTACTAAAAGAAAAGTCTGTGGTTTGAACCACCTGCTGCTCTGTGGGAGAAGATGTGGCAGTCTGCTTCCATAAAGACTGATGCCCTTGGAAACCCTGTGGAACAGTTCTACTCTGTCTTACAGAGGTATCCCCAAGTTAAAATCAACCCCATGGTGGTGGGTTTTGTTTGGTGGGTAGACACCTCTCTCTTTTTTTTTTTTTTTATTATGATTGGGTGCTAGTTTATAGAGCAAATTGGCTTTTCATTGAACGATTCATACTCATTTTGTTATAGGACAATGATTGCAATTCCCAGAATGTAATGGCACTCTTCCCACGTACTTCCTGTAGGAAGAGTACTCTTATATTTCCCGCTCCATCAATTTTTCCTATCCCTTCCTACCTTCTGAGCTTTATACCTGGGCAAATGCTGCCCTTATGATGTTAAATAGCATACACAGTCACAGTTCTAATGAGTGTGTATACTTCCCTGTGTATATTTCACCTTTATAGGCCTGCCTATCATTTGGCTGCAAGTTGCGCCATGGGATTGATTTTAGTTCTTAGTTAGAAGGGTTTCTAACGGCCTTAGTCTCGGGCTCTCCACCAGTCTCTTTAAGGACCAGGAAGTGAGTCTGGTGTCTTTTTTTAAGATTTTGAGTTTTGTTCTACTTTGCCTTCCACAGTATCCAGGACCTCCAATTGTGGTCCCTTTCAGAGTAGTTACAGTGGTACCTGGATACCATCTAGTTCTTATGCTCTCATAGTAGTAGAGGCTGGGGTTTACGTGGTCCATGAGTCCTTTGGACATAATGCTTCAAATGCCTTAAATTTTCTTCACTCTTCTTTGCTCTGGATGGGGAGAGACCCATAGTTGCTCCTTAGATGGCTGCTGTTGACTAAAGTGAGGTGTCGAACATTGTGTTTGTGGACTATGTGATGCCAATATGTTAGTGTCCCCCGAGCTATGATCCTGAGTCCCAGGCACAGTTACTCATTTCCTCAAGGTGTATGGTTATGGCTAAGAAATTTTCATAACTGTGCCTCCCTGTATGCTCTACTATGTTCCTGGATATATCTGCAGTTCATGTAAATACATATCCTCTGTCTATTCAAACTGTATACAGTCATGGGTATAACCCCATTCGCCTTCCTAGCTCTGTTCAGCTTGAGTGTCTATCTCTGTAGATTGTTGTTATTCCTGACATGCAGGGTTATGTATTTACCGTTGTTGCCTTAAACTTTGTGCTTCTCTCAGTGTGCCTTCCTTGGCCTTGGTCATTTGTGCTGATCTCCATCTCCCCCTTATTGTATATTGCCTTTCCCCTCACCCAAGGTAAGACTTGTCTATTCTATAGGATAAGCACTCAACTACATTGTTGATTTGAACCATAAGGTCAGTGGTTGAATTCCACTAGCCGCTCATCGGAAAACCCTATATAAGGTCACTATGAATCGGGATTGATTCTACAGCACTTAACAACAACAACAACTCCTGGTGTGGTGCTGTAGGATCAGCACTGGTCTGCGATCCATAAGGTCAGCAGTTCAAACCCACCAGCTGTTCCTCGGAAATCGTATACAGGGTTGCTATGAGTCAGAACTGGCTCACAGCACTTAACAACAACAGTCCTCTAGGTAGTGATTTGCCCTCCCATCCCGTTAACCTTCAGAGAATAATTCTTTTTGTGTATAAACTTTTTTACAGTTGTGATCACATACGATATTTTTCCTTTATAATTGACTAGTTAAACTCAGCAGAAGGTCCTTTAAAGTTCATCCATGTAATAAGGTGTTTCACATATTCATCATTATTCATGTAACATTATGTAGTATTCCATTGGGTGTATGTATGACTGTTTTTTTCATCCATTCATTCATTGGTTGTTTCCATCTTTTGGCAGTTGTAAATAATGCTGCAATGAACATTGTTGTTATTCATGTTTTAGTGCCATGGAGTCAATTCCGACTCATAGTGACGCTGTATAGGGTTTCTGAGGCATGGCTTTGAAGCACTGACCCTTGGTCTATTGCTTATCGTATAGCACTACACCAGGACTCTGCAATGAACATGGATGTGCACATATCTGTGTCATGATTCTTATTTCTCTAGGATATATACCTAACAGTGGGATTGCTGGGTCATATAGTATTCTTATTTCCAGCTTTTTAAGGAAGCACCATACTGTTTTCCAGCATTGTATTAGGGTTTTACCAGCATTGTCTATGAGGGCTCCAGTCTCTCCACACCCTCGCCAGTGTTTGTTGAGGTGAGATGATACATCGTTGTTTTGATTTACATCTGGCACTGTAGGATAAAGCGCAGGACCACGAGGTCTGTTTTTGAACTGCAGGTTGGCGGTTCAAACCTATCAGCCGCTCCTCGGAAACCCTATACAGGGTCTCTATGAGTCAGAACCAACTCGACAGCACTTAGCAGCAGCAATGGTTAGTGAACATTTCTTCGAGTGTTTGTTCGCTACCTGAAGTCTTCTTTGGTAAGTATCTTTTCATGTGGGTCGCTTGCTATGGGTTGTGACCTACTTGACAGCATTTAACAACAGCACCCATTTTTAAATTGGATTGTCGTGTGTTTTTGTTGCTGAAGTATTCAATTGAACTTTTCTAT